ACCAGGGATTGAACTCAGACCCTTGAGCTTGCAGGCAAGCACTTATTCTACTGAGCCATCTCCTTGGTCCCTACCTAAGCAATCTTTGCCTAACTCAAGGTCATAAAGATTTTCATGTTCTTTTCTATAAGTTTTAACGTTTTAAGTTATATATTTAAATCTATGTTCCAGCTTGAGTTACTCTTTGAGTATCAGAGGAAAAAAAAAAAAAAAAAAGATTCAAAATCCCAACTACGCAGGAAGCTGAGGAAGAAGAATTGCCAATGCAAGGCCACACTAGACTAGCAAAACCCTGTCTCAAAATGAAAACTAAAAAACCTAAGACTATAGCTCAGTGATAGGGCATTTGACTAGCATACACAAGGCTATGTGTTCAATCACCAGTACTACCAGGGTCTCACCATGTAGCTCAGGCAGGCCTCAAACTCATGATGTTCCTGCCTCAGCCTCCCAAGAGCTAGAAGTGCACATGTGCTACCACTGCACCGCACTTGTCCATTATTTTTAAGAGTGCTCTTTCTCAATTGAATTGCCTTCATATTTGTGGCAAAAAGTCAATCAGTGAGACTAGACATGGTGGCACGAGCCTGTAATCCCAGCGCTTGGGAGACTGAAAACAGGAGGATCCATGCATCTGATCTATGTAGTGAGACCCTGTAGACCCTGTACTACATACATTTTTTTTTAAAAAATCAACTAGGCCATGTGGGTATGCATATATCCTACAACATGCTTTTCTCTTTTCACTACTCTGCAGTCTGCACTCCAACCTGTAGCTTTCCTGAGTTTTCAGTTCCACCTTCTCATTTTAGGCAGGTGGGTGGTGGAGAGGGATACTGAATTTCTTTGCTTGGGTCTCAGCCTAGAACCTTTTTACAGTATTGGGGGGGGCAGATTGTTTCCTATCACCAGAGATCACTATTGCTTGATGTCCAGTACGTAGAAAACTGTTCTTGGGGCTGGGGGGATAGCTCAGTTGAGTAAGCACTTGCCTGGCAAGCACAAGGGCCTGACTTCAATCCCCAGCTCCGTTAAAAAAAGAAAGAAAGAAAAGAAAACTGGTCTTTAATATGCTTTGAACAGTTTTTTAATTGTTTCTGGCAGGACATTTAAATCTGGCCCCTGATATTTCATATTGTTGAAGCAAAAATCCATTTTCCTGATATTTTTAACATCATCTTTTATAACTACTTGTGTCGTTTAGAATAGTGTTCACTATGAATACTTCTTTGTCCACATGGATTTCACAAGTTCTGCTAATCAGTATTCTATAAGCTTCTGCCTTTTGCTGTTTTGGGTATTAACCAGATTCTTTATCTAGATTCGCTCTGCCTTATAAAAATAACAAAATGATTTATTAAGTCTCCTGTGTACCAAGTATATACTGGGGATTGTAACTGTATGCCTGTCTTAGTTACTTTCTGATTGCTGGGACGAAATACCCAACACCCTCAAGTTAAAAGAGGAAAAGTTTATTTTCGCTCACAGTTTGTGGAGATTTCGGTCCATAGTCAGTGGCTCCAAGGCAGGGCAGCATAGCAGGGGTCATGGAAAGGGAGAAAAACCCATGACCTAGCAGGTGAGAAGCTGCCAGCAGCAAGCCTTCCTTTCCCTTTTCATTCCATTCAAACTGCAGACCATTTGGTTGGTGCCACCTACCCCCAGCATAGGCCTTCTCGTTAACTGCACCCAGAACTATGCTAAGCCAGTCATTGGACTGATCAAGTTCTCCTCTACTCTTAATCCAGCCTCACACACTCATGATCCAGCTATCTCCCACAAGCCCCACCTCTGAGCACCTAAGGCTTTGGGGGAGAAATTAAGATATAAATCATAACAGTACCTTATTTAATTCTTACAATATCCCCATGAAGATGTCATTGTCTTTATTGGAAACATAATTGAAGGTGAGAAGTTAAATAGTATGCCCAGGATCACACAGCAAGTAAGTGGGCATGATCAGTACTCACACCTACGTCTGCCAGCCCCAGGGCCCACGGCCTGCTTGCTACTTTGTGACAGTAGCACAAATCTGATGACACCCATTGGATTTTTTGCTGAGTACAAGACGGCTTCTCAGCAAAACTAACTCAAAAAGATTATTCTTATCCGCCTTTACAGTAAGGGTAAGCATTTTAGAATGTCTAAGGAAGGAAAAATATCAGTACAGCTATAAGTAATCATTTTGATTGAAGTTCTGTCAAGTGACGGGAAGAAAAAGGGTTGAGAGAGCATTTAAGAGAGAGGAAGAATGTGATTTTAGAGATGCTGGGTCATGAAAATATTGTAACAATTAAGTGAAGGGGGTGGAAAGGGGAAATGAAGTTCTTCTGCGGTGATACGCTTTGGAAACCTGCTGGAGCGCACAAATGTGTATGGCAGCAAGCACTGCTGCTGTCACCGCAGCTCTTCATTCCATACCGTGAGAGTCAAAAACTGAACTCAGAATAGGAAAACAGGAAAAGGAATGTAGAGTACCAACTAGTGTTACCAAGATAACACGTTTTGGTTGATTTCCAGTGCCAAATACAATACATGTTAACATTCCATATAAATGTTTAGAAGCTTGTTCAGCCTCTATTTTTATAACAGCTATAACCTTTCTCTAGTCTCAGAAGGCTAAGTCTATTAAAAAGAAGTCCATTTTTAGAATGTGATCTTTATCAAATAGGATATAATATTGTGTTGAAAAACAATAGAGGGGCTGGAGAGATGGCTCAGTGGTCTAAAGCACCTACTTAGAACAAGCTTGGCAAAGCACAGGGACCGCGGTTCAATCCCCCAGCACCACATGCCAGCCAGCCAGCCCCCTGGTGGGCTGAGCTGGCCACACACACACACACACACACACACACAGTAAATAAATGTAAAAAAAAAAAAATTAAAAAAAAAGAAAAACAATAGATTCCTAAGTCTAAAATTTTAAAAAATCAATATCATCCAGGCATTGTGGCACACTCCTATAATCTCAACACTTGGGATACCAAGGCAGGAGAATCACACAGTCAAGGCCAGGCTGGGCTGCTGAGCATGTTCAAGGCCAATGTAGCCTACATGGAGAGAACCTTTCTCAGTAAAACCAATGAAAACTCAGAATCTGAGTCTGTTAAGATCAGGCACACGGTTACCTCATTCGGCATGAAGAATTTTCAGGAATAGTACAAGTGAAAATATTTGAGTTTTGGAAACTGTGACAACAAATGTGACTAGAAAAAAAAGTGTAGTTTATTCTTCTGGAACTCCCTCTGTAATTTTATGGAACTTTTTTAGGAAAACTGCAACGAATGATGTTAACACCCTTGTTGAAAATAATTTAACCATATATATGAGGATTTATTTCTGAGCTTTTAGTTTCCTAACATTTTTAATGGGTGCTGTTTATCTGAGCTGGGTGTGGTGGTGCATGCCTGTAATCCCAGCAATTGAGAGGCTGAGGCAGGAGGATCGTTTTGAGTCCAAGACCAGCCTGGGTTACAAAGTGAGCTCAAGACCAGCCTGAGCTGCATATCGAGACCCTGTCTCAAAAAGACAAAAACAGTCTACAAGCCACAGATGAAACCCTGTTTCTCTACATCCTTGGTGGAACATTTTTTAATGTTTCCTAATGTGGTCAGTTAAAAATATAAGAAGTGTTTGTCAATATTTAACAGATAAAACCAAAAGGATACTGGAATTATTTCTTATATATTTGAAAAACATTTTTACTTTTATTTTTAAATATCCATTCATAACATGAAAATTGTGAGAACAGGTAATCATGTCTAGTGCACTAAAACAGGTAAATTGACATTTTGAAACAATCATATTTTAAGTGTTCAACCTGTTTTCAGCTATCCTCTTGAAATAAACTAGCCAATGGCTTTAATTTTTCCTAGCTTAATGCCGATACTGAGAGAGAAGAAGGAGAAGAGCTCGAAGACAACATGGATGTTTTTGATGATAGTAGTTCCAGCCCTTCTGGCACCTTAAGAAATTATCCACTCACCTGCAAAGTTGTTTATTCCTACAAGGTTTGTATTTGTCCAACCTATTGCTTAAATTGTAGCAACTTGGAGGTAACTGTATCTGTCCAGCCTCTAGTGCTGTGCTTAGGGTAAAATTGGCATTCAGTTATTATCAGCGGCAACACAGTATAATGGTAAAGAGTTTCAACTAGGACATTAGATGGGTTAAATTTTTGTCTCTTCTGCTTGTGAGCTTTATGACCTTGCACTGGTTCCTTAATCTCTGTGAACCTCAGTTGCCTTACCTATGTCATGTGGACCATGTTTTAGGGTTAATGTGAAAATTAAATGAGATAATACTTTTGTACCAAAGCATTCGCCATAGTGCCTGGCATTTTGCAGCTTTTGGACAAATAGAACTGCTAACTTTTGTCTCAACTGCCTGTTTGGCATTACAATGACCCCTAAAACTGATATCAAAGGAAAGTTGTTTTACAAAACAGTTTTTAAAACTTTACCTTTCTTCAGCCTAATAAAACTCTTGCTCCCCACATTAAGCAGGATCCTGGCTTAATAGATGTCAGAATTTCCAGAACTGGTTTGGTATAGTGTTTCTTAATCTCTTACCCTTTCCCTGCTTTCCCATTAACTTTTTACTCAGTATATAGTAAACTGAAGTTCCTTTCCCTGGGTTTCTGTGTCTGGCTCCCTGTCTAGGCCATCAGCCAGTCCTGTTGATCCCACTCTGAAATGTCTTGAATCTATTCCCTTTTCATCAGCTCTCGTGCTACTGTCGTGGTCTAGGCTCTTGTCTTGATGCCTTTAGAAGTGGAGGGGAGGGGCTGGAGAGATGGCTCAGTGGTCTAAAGCACCTACTTGGAACAAGCTCAGCAAAGCACAGGGACCACGGTTCAATCCCCCAGCACCACATGCCAGCCAGCCGCGCCCCCTGGTGGGCTGAGCTGGCCACACACACACACACACACACACACACACACTAAATAAATGTAAAAAAAAAGAAGTGGAGGGGAACTTTAGCTGTCATTTTCCCACGTCTATAATTTGCTTCTCAGCAGTCCATTTTCTACTCTACAGCCACAATTTCCGTTGAAGAATAAGATGATTTTATTCCCTTTCCTAAATCTCTTTTTAAGCTTTCTGTCACATGTGAAAAAAAAAAAAATCCAAACTCTTCCTTGGGATCTGTAATGTCTGCCCTGATCTGGCTCCAGCCATTCTCTCCAGCTTCATATCAGGTGGTTCTCCCACTCACCCGCTAAGCTCACATTAGCCACTCGGGCTGCTTCTCAGGCTGCCAGAGTGCCTGGCTCCTTCCTGACTGCACACCTCTGCATTTGCTGTCTACCTAGAATTGTTTTCCTAAATCTCAATTGGTTGCCACTCCTCTTCACTGGACTTAGCTCAGATAGTGCCTCCTAAGGTTACCACTAATCAACAGATAGCCAGCTCCTCAGTCACAGCTCTCTATACTGGTGTCTTCTTTTATGTATTGCATGGTAACATGTCACCTAACAATGAAAATGCATTCTGAGAAATGCAGACTTGGGTAATGTTGTCATCACAGAATCAGCTTATGCAAATCTAGATGGCACAGCCTACTGCACACCATATGCAGAAGTGTATTGTTTTGTTCTTCAAGCCATGATGAATAAAACATAGAATGAAATCAAATACAAGAGACAATTATGCAAACAAGCGATGGAAAAGATAGAGTCACCCAGCATACTTTAGTAAACTTTTTTAATAAGTAGAAGGGATGCATGCTAAAATAGTGATAAACACAAGTGTGCATGCTATGTCTCAGCCTTCTCATTGTGTGATAATGGATAGATTTATTCAATCAGATCTCAGAAGAAAGTCTTGTCCCTATATGTAAATGGCTGGTCATCTTTGCAATGCCTTCAAATAATTGCAGATTCAAGCTTTGACAGCAGAGAACTGGCTCGGGAAAGTTCAAAGGCAGCTTGTAAAAGTCCATCTCAAAGACCAAATATGAACTGAAGACAGAAAAAATAGAAATTATTGGGAATCGTGATTCCAAGGCATTCCCTATCTGATATAAAGAGAGACATCATCTGTAGTTCCAGAGACAATCCCCTCACCTTAGATGTAGGACGGATATTATGGATCCTTATTGAGAGTTCACAGTGAAGCCACAATAACCCACTAATTACATCTGGTAAGGAGACAAGAGCTTTTTCAATTGAGCCTTCAAGCAAAATAAAGGTACCTATTGAGAATTTCTTCAGTGTTTCTGAAGAACATTTCCTTCTTTCTTAACCTCCTCAGGACAATTCTGTTTAGAAGTGATGTTGCTTGTATTGCAGGCAGAGGAAAAGGAAAAAGCTGAAAAGGAGGTGCTTGGAATAAAAATCACAAAGCTGACAGATCTCTTTTTTTTGTTTGTTTTTTAAATTTTTTTCTTTTATTTATTTATTTGGTACAAGGTCTCACTATGCAGCTCAGATTCATAGTGATCCTTCTATCTCAGCCTCCCTAGCACTGGGATTACATGCATGTATCACCATGCCTGGTTTCAGTGGCCAGTACAATGTACCCAGGGTTCCAGGGCCGACACAGCCTGCAGTACTAGGGATAAAACCTGGGTCCTTGAATGCCAGGTGGCATTTAGACCACTGAGCTGTCTCCCCAGCTCAGATTTCTTTTGTTGAGAACCATCAAGATCTCATGCAGGTTATGGAGGATCTCTCCAAGGCTACAGCAATGATTGTTCTCTCAAATTGCCCCAAAGATGCTAAAGCCAAGGGAATTGCATTGAACCTTTCTACATGAGCAACAATGAAGATGGTCCTCACCATGCAGTTGCTGTGGATCTTCTGGTACCTGAAGTAGGGAGCTGTTTGGTGGATGCCTCAGTGATGAAAGGTACCAGATGTTAGAGCACCAACTAATCAGATAAGGACGTGAATCCAGTATCTGGGCCTTTGCTCTTTTGGAACCTAGACACATGCCAGCTTTGGATGGCATTTGAATGCTACCTGCAGTTCATCTTGGAGGTTGACAGTGTCAGAGATGTTAACCCCTTTTCACAGTTTATTCATTTATCTCTTTTATAACTGAAAGTTTGGTTAGTGAATAGTGCCCTGTGACAGGCTATATATATATAAATATATATATATATATATATTCTGCTTCATTGAGTTCTGTAAACATGAGATTCTGCCATAAGATATAATATAGGAAAAGTAAAAATGATCACAGTTGTCTTATAAAGCCAAGGGAATTGCATGGAAAATTGACCTCCCCCCATGAAAGGACCTTATGGACTTGCAGATCTGTTACTTCAGTTAAGAAAAAAAAAAAGAAGAAGAAGGGCTGGGGAGACAGCTCAGCAGTCTAAGTGCCTGCCTAGCAAGCACAAGGACCTGGATTCGATCCCTGGTACTGCATGCCACACCAGCCTGGAACCACTGCTGTGCAAGCCCTGAACTGGGCGTGATGGTGTAGATCTGTAATCCAACACTGGGGAGGCTGAGTCAGGAGGATCACTATGAGTTCAGGCTATGTAGAAAGACTCTGTACCAAATAAATTAATAAAAGATTTTTTTTAATTAAAAAGTAACTTAACCTGTAGTCCCAGCTCCTTGGGCCCTGAGGCAGGATCACTTGAGCCCTGAAGTTCCAAACCAGCCTGGCAGAGGAGGAGGATCAGGATGAGGAGGAGGAGGAAAAATTGAACTATTAGATGGTCTCAGAGGGCTCTTCAAAATCCAAGACTGGATGAAACAGAATATTTTACTTTGTCTTTATTCAATAGATCACTTGCTTCTGTAACTTGAGAAACAGCAACTAAAATTAAAATGTTGCATCTTTTCTCCCTTGCCACTTAACCTGTAATAAATGCCCATTGTACTCAATATTTTATTAAACTCAACAGAAGAAAATACTGTTTTTAGGGTCTTAGTTGATTTAATTAAATGGTCATTTTGACTTAAACTCATGGTTCCTTGGTCTGGGAGAGGAAGAAAATCACATAATAAGTATTAATCTTTATTTTTTTTTTTATTTATTTGTGTGTGTGTGCATGTGTGTGTGGCCTGCTCAGCCCAGCAGGGGGCAGGGCTGGCTGGCATGTGGTGCTGGGGGATTGAACCGCGGTCCCTGTGCTTTGCTAAGCTTGTTCTAAGTAGGTGCTTTAGACCACTGAGCCATCTCACCAGCCCCTATCTTTAATTGTAAAAGCTAATGAGGTATTACATTATTTAAACTCATCTTTATTCTAGTTATTTTATAATAGATGTTTATAACATCTCAATAGTTAAGAAAACACATTTTTTATAAAACACATTTTTAAAATAAAAAATAGTAAGTATACTATAGTAAATAGATAAACTAGCACCAGTCATTTATTATCATTATCAATACTATATACAGTGCCTACTTCTATGTGCTGTACTTTTACAGCCCAGTAAGTTTTTTATGTCAGCATCTTCATAAATATGTGAGTGATATGTTATGCTGCAGTGTCCAGATGATCATAATGTCATTAGGTTATAGGAATTTTTCACCTCCATTATAATCCATTATAATCTATAGGATCACTGCATATATGTAATCTCTTACTGACTGACTCAAGCAGTAACTTATTACTGAATAGGAAGAAAATTAGTACCTCATAGGGAAAGATTCTCTCAAATAAATAAATAGCAGATATTAATTTTAACCCTTAGCATGATTCCTGTGGTCTACCAGTGAAGATAAACCTGCAGTAATAAGTAACTCATTATGCAATGAGTAACTTATTACTATTAGTTCTTTTTTTTTTTTTTTTCCAGTACTGGGGATTAAACTTGAGTTTGCCAGGACCTTGAGTTTGCCAGGCAAGTGCTTATTCTACTGAGTTATCTCCCTGGCCCACTATTAGTTCTTATTACTGATACTAGCCAAACTTAACCTTGCTTGCTTTCATATTTCTTGTATGTGCTGTCTGGCTGCCACTGAGGTCACAGAAACTTTATGTCCATGTACCTCTTCTAAGTCTATTGAGCACCTGGAGCAACGCCTGATGCACAGGAGGTCTTCAA